ATGAAGGAAGGCTTTGCTTCGAAAGAGAAGGTGGAAGATCACCTGTAGAACCTGTTTTGGAGAACACGTTGGAAAAGGCGCTCCACTTTGTTACGTCGAGCAACGTGTATGGCTAAGATGGTGGAATGTGCAACTGATCCTCCTTTGGCTGCTTTTCAGAAGCTGTGTCCAAGGACCTGCAAGCTGTTGAATAATCAGAATTTTATGGCTAAGGCTTCCCTTTTGGCGGTAGTGGCGAGTTTGTCACAGGAGGGAGCAATTGCACCTCAGAGCTTGGAATCCTTGCGTTAAAGCATCCACGAACGCCTTGGGAGCACAGATTGGATGATGCGAAAGGTAGCAACTGACATCACAGATGCAATTACAGACTACTCAGCTGCAGCAACAATTGGGTTTGCAACAGCAGCCCAATCAATTACACCAAAATATGCAGCCAAGGATTCACGCATCAAGCTTGGAGTTTTCAACAACAAAGCTTCGTGTTATTCGAGCAGTTGCTGTCCTTGGAGGTTTTCTTCAAAATTTTCTCTTCACGTGTTCGTATGGTATAACAATTTCGCTATATGTTTTTTGCAGTTATGTGGAGGACTGTGCTGTGGGTTTGCTGTTTGCTTTACTTCAATTCTAGGTGGCAGTTCTGGTGTCCTTCAAGGAGTACTATCCACGACTAAATCGTTGACTAAAGAGCTCTATCAGTTGACATCCATAGCATTTTTGCTTGCTTGCTGTTTGGTGATGAGCTGGGTTTATTTGTTGCTGGAATGATGATATCAACCTCTAATTTGAATCAGCATACACTTGAACAAGTTGAGCAAATTCGCAATTGCTTTGTTGCTCTATTCCTGGCCAGTATTGGGGATGTTGATTCATGTGCATTTCCTTTGGAATCACGTTGATATATTGCTAGCAGCTGTAATATTAGTGATTGTTATTAAAACCATGGTAGTTGCTGCAGTTGTTAAGGGATTTAGATACAGCAACAAAACTTCACTTCTTGTTGGGATGCCTTGGCCCATTTGGGGCTGCAGCTTTGTTTTCTGGTTTGCATCGCTACTATAACATGAGGTTCCTTTGGATGTCCTCCTGTAAACTAACTCGTCAAGGTTGTCAGGAGACTGTCCATGTTATGCCTCGCCTAGTGGTTGAAGTGACTAGGTTGCTGTGAGAAGGAGATGTGCTTTGTTGAAACATCATTACATGTATCGGTGTCTTAAAGGGTCAAGAATCGATGCACTTAATTCAATCACCATCTCGTAAGCAAAGGTGGTGCAAGAAGATGTTCATTTGTTCTCGTGTTGGATACCAAGTAAGTTTAAAATGTTTCACAGGAAATTTTGATTTGTCAAGCATCTTTTAAATAACTCTTGAAGATAAAAAGATTTTAAAAAAAATATTTTTGAGAAAAAGTTGAAAGTATCAATTTTCCTTGAAAATCAAAATTTTCAAAAAAAAAGGTTTTTGAGGAAAAGTTGAAAGTATCAATTTTCCTTGAAAATTCAAAAATTTTCAAAAAATATTTTGGGAA